GTGTGATTTGCAAGGTAAAAAAAAAGGCAGGGTGGTAGGGAAACCAACATTTGACCCTGCTGAAATGGCTTGCTGGTTCCTTAACCCCAGTGACAGTCCTGTGCAGTAGGTAGCATTACTTCCCTTAAATAAAAAGAAACAACTTGTTTTTTTCCCATGAGTCTGAGTCTAGAAAATTAGAGCTTGTATTCCTAACATAGGTCTGTCACACTCCAAAGCCCGTACCCTAACTTTACTTTTTTTTTTTTTGACTTTAGATGGTGATCTTCTGAAACTGGGGGATTGATTGGTTGGTTTAAATTTGCATGACAGGATGTTAAATGGAATTTTCCTCTTATGCACCAAGATGCAACAGATTCGATGTTCTAAAGCCAGGTTTGCAAAGGAAAGAACTAAGCAGCTCTCAAACATACAAGGATTAAAAGGATTGAGAGAGGCAATATGGAAATTTTGTGGATTTCTTTGGAATGGGTTTCCAAAGAAGGGGATAGTTGGAGTGGTTTCCCCTGGCACCGAAGGCTTTCCCTGGGTCCTATGCAGCTTAATATTTAGTTTCTGGACTTTGGAGACACAGTGAAATGAGATCTGACTGAAGCATGAGAAATCTCATGGGCTAGAGTGTGGGTGTGGCGATGGTGAGAGCAAATGAGAAGAGGCTATATTGGGATGTTTGTATTCCCAATTTCTTTTGGGCAAAATATACTTTAATGATTCTTATGTACCAGAAGTGGGCCCTGCAGGAGAACAAAGTGCTTGAGAGGCCTGCCAAAGAAAACTATTTGGCTGTGCTAGGGATACTACCACAGAAACAGGAATGGACTACTGTTAGTTCCAGAGATTGAAGGAGAAAGAGCAATAGAATGTTTTGCTGTTGACACACGTTGCAGTAGGGGAGCCTGAGACAAGTCAGCTTTAAATAAAGCCAGACCCTGAAAGCATGAAGCTAACTTACTATGCGGCCAGTTGAGAACTTTCTGCTTACACCCTTCCATTAACCCTAGAGAACTGAAGTCACAATTAGAAAGTTGGGAAGGGTGGGAAAAGAGAAACCGAGTACATCACTTCCTCTCAAAGTGGGAGGTCCACTAGAAATTGGTGCTGAGGGTGGAAAGCTTAGCTCTAAAGAGTTCCGAGTCTTTCATTATTTGGAGCTGGGGGTTCTAATCACTGAAACCCCATTTGTGATTTAAAATGACAGTAAGAGCTTTATAGAGTGAGTAGCAAAGCCATGAGGCCTGAGAAAATTAATTTTAAAGGTATATATTGTGCCATGCTCCTATACTGAATGCTAATATTTTTACATTAATTTTGCTACACCAGCCTTCTTTTTGCTTAGCATTGGCCCAGTATGTCTCCCTCCATCCCTTTATTTTAACCTTTTCCAGAACTGTAAGTACACCTCTGAGAAAAAGCCTGAAACGAGATTCTGTGCCTTGAAAAAATCCAATCCGTGGGTTTGTCTTTTAATGAGCTTAATCTACTTACATTTATTGTGATCAACATACTACAGACATATATTTTCCCATTTTATATGGTTTTCTATTTACCATGTTTTTTCTTTGCACCCTTCTCCTCTCCTTTCCTGTCTTCTGTAGGACCAAGACTTCTTTAGAATGTACATTTTTCCCCTAAATTATATTTACTGAGATAAAGAAGTTTAACATCATTGAATCTGTTCAAGCCATTATAGGTTCAAAACTTTGACACCTTGCCCACCACCAGTGTCCAATGATTCTCCAGCATGTTCCCTTGGGTCCCTTCCTCCTCTCACACCCCACCACCCTCCCACTCTGGTTGCCTGTTCTGCAGTGAGATGTTAAGAGTTCATTATTAGTTTGGATTGGCCCTTTTATATTATTCTATATTCCACATATAAGTGAGACCACCCAGTATTTCTTTATTTCTCTTTTAGCATTTTTCTTTCCAGTTTCATCCATGTTGTTGTAGATGGCGTGTCATCCTTATTATAGTTGAGTAGTATTCCAATGGGTATAAATAACAAATTTTTCTGAGTCACTCCAGTGTCCTTGGGCACTGAGGCTGTTTCCATAATTTAGCTATTGTAAATAGGGCTGCAATGAACATAGGAGGGCATATATTCCTTCAAATTAGTGTTTTTGTATTCTTTGGTAGATACCTAGGAGTGAAATTGGTGGGTCATATGGTATACCCATTTTTAGTATTTTGAGAAACCTCCATACTGATTTCCATAGGGCTGGAGCAGATTACTATATTCTAATGTTTTAGTGCTTAATTAAGATCTATCTAAATTGTTATTTAACTTGAAGTCTATCTAGACTAGCTCCAATTTCCTCATTTTTATACAGATTTTTGTATCTTATAAAAAAGTATATACATTAAAAAAAACTACTTCTGATAATTGCCATTTGTATAAGCAAGCAAACTAAACCGTTATTCTAGTTGTTTATGTACTTTTAAATATATCCTAGAAAAAGCTAAATGTTACCTTCACAATACATTAATGGATCAGAAAAAAGTTGACAAGAGTTCTTCAATTCTTAAAGGTATCTTTAAAGACCCTTAAGTGTCTAGGGACCTCAGGCTTTGGTGCCACGTAAGACCATAGGTATCTGTGTAAGTGAGGTACGGAAATCCCTAGTAACTTAAGTGGCTATCCCACCAACATGCTATTTAGATTGCAGGTTATTAGGTTCCTTTAACGCAATCTTAAAATACAGTATTTCTAACCTGCTCAAGGGTGTGAGCCAAGGATCTGTTTGCTAGGTCTGATTCAAAGTTTAAATAACAAAGGAAACATGGGCTTCCCTGATGGCCTAGGGTTTACTCTCAGAGTAAACCACTTTCACCAGCACCACCCTCCCTCCTTTCATTGCAGGGGCCTGGCCTGTTAGACCCACCCCCAGGAACTGACCCATATGTGCAGCAGACCTCTCCTGTCTCCCACTGCTCCCCTCTGCCGTCTATTTCAGTAGATCTCCCTGTTCTGCTCCCTACTCTGTCTCTGGTGAATCCTCACATCCCCCAAGCCCACACCTTTGTCCTACACTGAGTTCTACACAAAAATAAAATCTTTTAAAAAATCCAGGTTCAGACCCTTATGAAGTGTCTCTCCAAGTCCATGAGCTTTTTCAGAATCTGTCTTCTACACAGAAGAGTTTTTCCTAAGAACTCATCTAGTTGGCTAGGCCTGTAGTCCCACAAAGGATCCAATTCTCTTAAGAATATATTTGCAAAGTATTAGTTACTTCAAGTGTGTGCTAGGAATTTCTTACTCATCCTCACCCCCCCCTCCACCCCTGAACCTACGTTTTCTCCGTTTTGTGTCCTCATGCTTACCAATACAGACTTTATCAAAGGTCTTCCTTGCCCTTTGGCTTCCAGCTTGGTCAAAGGGAAATAATGCAGCAAGAGAGAAAGAGAAGAGCAAGGTCCAGGACTCCTTGTCCTGAATTCTCTTCTAGGCTGGTCTCTGAGCTGACTGTATCCTGAAGATCAGATACTATCAGCTGCCTCTTTCCAGAGTTGTCTACTATTCCAGCAACCACCTACTCCCTTCTTTACCCCACCCGACCCTGCTCCCTCTTCCTACTCTTCCTTGCCTTCAGGCAGCAAGAATGGGTCACCTCCAAATTCACATGTTGAAGTCCTAACACCTAGTATCTCAGAGTGTGACTGTATCTGGATAATCTTTAGAGGCAATTAAGGAAAAGTGAGACCATTAGGGTGGGCCCTAACATGACTGGCATCCTCGTAAGAAGAGACTGGGACACATGCAGGTACAGAATGAAAGATCATGTGTAAGTGACAGAGAAGTTAGCACCATCCACAAGCTGAGAGGCCTGAGAAGAAACAAAGTCTGCTAACACCTTCATCTCAGACTTCTAAACCTCCAGAATTATGAGAGTTTCTCATGTCTAATCCAGACTGTGAAAACAACAACAAAAAAAAAAGCTTTTAAAATTTATTTATGCATACAAGAACTGGGGTACAGGCTACAGGTGGGGAGGGGAGAGGATTCACCAGAGACAGAGTGGGAAGCAGCACAGGGGGACTGACTCAAATACACTGAGGGGAGCAGCAGGCAGGACAGGAGAGGTCTGCTACGCCATGTGGGCCAGCTCCCTGGCCAGGGATCAAACTGCTGCAGTGGCTGTGGATAGACAGCTTCACAGTGCTTTGCTTTAACCCCTTGTGCCACCAGGGAGGGCCCCATAGTCTGTGAAAATTTGATGTGGCAACCCTAGCAAACTGATACCATGACCCTACTTCTGTACTGGCAACTTGGAAAAAATTCTTTATTAAACTTTCCTCTCATTATCCATTTTGAATCTTATTTGTTTTCTGCTGGGACCCGACTGCTCCAGTAGAATAATGAGATTCTCATTTCTGTATTTTGTGTATTGTCTAGTTTCTGTAATAACCCTGGGAAGATTTGCTTTTTGGTTCAAGAAGTGGAAAACACTACCATAAGACAAAAATTGTTCTGAGTGATATTTCCCTATAAAATAGGTCCGTAAGTAAAGGGATCCAACACCATCCCTCTCGTCCATCAAGAGGTTCCTATGGTTTTATAATCCCAATGTCATGCTCAAGGGATTATAAAATCAGGGAATATTATATCCATGCTGGAACTAGGAAAGCTGTCATTTCTGGCTCCAAATCTCCCAGTATTTCTAATAGAAGCACTACTGAAGGTGGTTGCCCAAGCATCGTCTGGTGGAAAAGCGCAAACAGTACTCTGCATATGGGTAAGGGACTCTCAAGTACCGCTACAGAGCCTGTCATAGCAGCACAACTCACAGGGGCAGGAGCCTCAGAACAAAACTGGTTCTTCTAAGAGTAGGAAGATGCAACCCCGTTGAGAAGCAACTCCCAGGGCAAAGGAAGGAACATGCCAGGCCTATTCCACGTCTCCTCACCCAACACAGGGGTCCAAATTCTTGTTTGACACCGCTATGTTTTCCCTGAGCCTGCTGACTCCTCAGCCTCAGTAACATTAAAGGCACACTGCAAATTACTTGCTTTGAAATTTAGAAACAAATTTTATTTAAGATCTGAAATACAATTCCTAAAATATCAACTTCTCCAGAAAACCGTGGCTACACAATAATGCATTGCCTCTATCATGTTAGAACGTGCATTAGACTCAAATACAAAAACCATGAAACAAACCACCATCCTTCAACAACTTGAGCAAAGATAGAATGCCTAAGGAACAACATAGATGGACTTGCAGAGGATGGGCTGTTTTACTTCAAGCACCATAAAAAAAAAAAAAAAAGAGCACAAATGCATGGGTTTTCGGGTATATACATTAAGTTGAACCTTTGGCACTAGGAATCAGGGCATTTTGTCACGTAGCATTAACACATATTAGAAAATTGTGTAGTGTCAAAGGGATAGAACCACCAGCATTCAAGCAATGTTGTCAACTAGGCAATAAAATGTTCTACTGAATGTTTCTTCTTTGTCTAATTACTGCATACACTGGTAGCAAGTTTGAAATGAGAAAGGAGCTCGCACTCCTTTTATTTTCTGTTTAAAACAAAACAGAAAACAAACTGAAACATAAGCCCTGTTATACATTAACAATTTTAAAGAACATCAATTATACAAGAAAAAGACTAAGAACAAAAAGAGTGTTTACAGATACCAGACATAACAGTGAGTGGCCAGTAGACCCTCACAGGGCTTTGCGGTGGTACTCAGCAGAAGCCACTTTGTAATCACTGGCAGTAAACAGAGACGCAGCATTCTTGGCCAGATATTTTAGGAAATCATGCAAATAGCCCAACAATAATGCAAGGCTTTTCTCATCAAGGGGCGTATATGCCAGCATGGCCCCGATTCTTACAAATAATCTCAGTAGGTGCGGCGCTCCATAAACCTGGGACATTGGTGCATCAGGGTGAGCCAAGAGGATTTCAGCATACTGGGGCCTCTCGAATTTGTAGAGCAGCTGAGTGCCCAACATCACATTGAAATATTCTTTTATTCCTGCCACAACTTCATTAACTGCGTATTCCTTATTATCAACATTTCCCTGCGACTTCTTGCAATTTGCATACTCTTCAAGAATGGCATCCACATTTTTCTTAGCAGGAAGTTGGAACAGCTGCTTCTGCCTGGTAACTAAGTCCCAGTCCTCAACAAGCCATGGTTTTAATTCTTCAGGAATCTTCACTTTAACTTCCATCCTATTCTTAAACGCCTCCTCACTTTCCACAGTAGGGTCTGCCCGGGCCCTTTTCTTCCGTGGTGGCTGAGGTGCTTCGCTGGTACTGCCACCATCTCCGCCATTTCCAGGAGCCTTCTGCTTGTTCTTTCTGGTCTTCCTCACAGATCCTGAAGGGGGGTTCTCCGCCGAGCGACCCCCCCATCTTCCTGGGAGAGCTGGTTCAAGATTTTTCTGCTGTGGACCAGCTGTCTTCTTTCCAGAGGAGGCTCCTCTCATCTTGCTTCTCTGCATGTTGCTTCTTGTTGGTTTTTTAAAGTTGTCTTCTTCTGCAGATTGTTGTCCACGAGTTTGAGAACCCTGCTTTCTGGAACTCATTCAACCCTGTTTTTATTCAAACCACTGTAATATATAAAATATTTTACTGGGTTGTTTTCTATGGTGACCTTTAACATACTATACTTCATACAGAATCAAAGCACAACACATGCTACTGTCATGGAATGTGGATTTCAGGATCATTTGTAAGTCACTTTCTACCTCCTCTCTCTCTGATCCTCACTGCCTCCCACCTCTCTGCCCACACACTCACTAATCAGACCTGCCCATAAATTAGTTTTTTTTTAATGACAACAACTGGATTATAATTTTAGGCAAAGAATGAATTAAGTAGGAAAGCAACTACAAAAGGCAGTGAAGTTGACATTTAAGACCTTTGAATAGGAAAAATGACATGAAATATAGATTAATTTAGTTGACCAGATGAAAAAATGAGTATCACTAAAGGTTCTCATATAAGTCTAGGTAAGTCTGCATTAGGGTGATATCAAGAAAAACTGAATACTGGTAAATGAAGGAGTCAAAGGTGGCTCTACAAGCTTTTATGCCTGGGTAATTTTAAAATAGGCAATAGGTATTCATACATTTATTATCTATTTAGTTGTCAAGCTCATCTGCTTCAGGTGCTAGAGGTTCAGATATTTAAAGTTACAATTATAAAACAAGGTTTTAGTACAATGAGAGGTATGGCACAAATAAGAAATGTATATGACACCGCTTGCTGGAGGTGATAAAACTAGTTGAGGGAGAAGCCAGCGATGACTCTGAGTTTGGAAAATAGGTGGGTAAGTCATGAGTATCCTCAACAATGAGACTGCATCTAGAGGAGGAAACAGGTTAGTGGGGAAAGTAGTTGAGTTCTGGACTTATGTTTTAAGTGTGAGGTATACAGTTAAACATATGACTTTAAAGCTCGGGTTGAGAGGTCAGTCAGAAATGAAGATCTGGGTAATCATCATGTAGCTGGAAGTGAGCATCAATGAAATCACTCGTGGAGAATAGAGGAAGAAAAATTGAACCAACTATGGAACTCTGGAAAAACCTAAGAAAGAATGAGATATAAGGGGTGAGCAGAGAACCTGCACATAAAGTAATGACCAGAGTAGTATGTTATTTTGAAAGTCAAAGTTGATTCAAGGCAGGAACAAAATAATCTACAGCACAGTGTAAAATGTATCAGCAGGCTAGTAAGATAAAGATGATAAGAACAGTATTCTATCATTCTTAAGGTGTGACAGATGGAACAATTCCTTTGACTTACATAATCCTCTTCCTTCTGTCCCTTCCAAGAACTCCTAGTGTTTTCCCAGAGGGAATCCTACAGATCTTCTGGGATGGCCTGGAAGAATGAGGTGGGAGACACAACCTAAAAAGAAAGCAGGTATCTACAGTGAAGATAAAACTTTTGTGAAATAAAAACTGGGCAAAAGAAAAAGTAATCTAATTTATAACCTAATCATGGTTTAGTTATGCTATCAGAAAAAAAGAGTTCTGCTACTGACATACTTCTACTTCAATTAGGCCCTGTCATTTGAATTGGGAGACCTTAGGCAAGTTCTCTTAGCTTTTGTCTCATCTATGGGGTGTGGCAAATTACTTAGCCTTCAAAGATTCTGGCTCAGAATTTCATGTGAACAGCTGGCACAGTACTTAGCAGGAATACCTGCACATGTGAATAGAGATACAGATGTTTGCTATAGTGTTATTTATAATCCTCTGGTTTATAACCTCAGAGAAATGACAATATAAATTATATAGATACTATATTTATAAATTATATATACTATGGGAGAACATGCAAATAATGCAGTGTTCCACCTGCTGATATGGAAAGATGCTCAATTTATATTACCAACAGGCAGTCTGCATATGTACAGTAAGACCTTAGAGTGCTGACAGACATACATACATCAGCCTTCTGACAGTTCTTGTGAACAATGAGAATGGGGGGCAGAATGGGGAGCACAATGGATTATGGTGATGGGAATGCTACAGCTACCCACCTGAGAGGAATCCCATACTATCAAAACACTAGCATGGATGCCTAACAATGGTTCTTCAATAAAAATGTGATCTATACACATCTACTTTCAACCATGTGTACACAAAGCACACAGGAAAGCAGGTGTATAGAAAATCAGGATGACCACTAGAAGAGAATGAGAATTGATGGTGGACCAGTAGTTTCCCTGGTTACTCATCTTTATCACCCAGAAATAGCCCTACAGTCAATTGGTAGTCCTTAACATGATGTGGGTGGCTGTCAGAGAAGCCCCATGGGGAAATGAAAGAGAAGATATGCTAGAAAACCAGAAACCTGAATCAGGGAAGCCATTTATTGGGAAAAGTGTGGGTATTATCATGTTCACTAAATAGAAACCTCCAGCAGAAAGTGCATAAAAGCTCTTAGTAAAGGTGGTGAAGATGGCCTCAGAGGACATCTAAAACTGTGACTAAATAGTGAGTCTGTCCACCTTTACCTTCTGCGGAGCAGTGGCCAGTGTGTTATGGCATCAGCTGTCAACCTTCCCTCTTCTTAAAAAAAAAAAAAAGTTCCCTGGTGATGCAAGGGTTAAAGTCTCAGCACTCTTTGAGCTATCACCAGCCACTGGAGCCTGAGCTCCATCCTCAGCCAGGGAGCTGACCCACGTGGCACAGAAGACCTATCCTGTCTGGCCTGCTGCTCCCCAGCAATGTATTTCAGTAGACCTGCCTGTTCTGCTCACGTCTCTGGTGAATCATCTCACTCCCTTTCACCTCTGGTCTATATCCCAGTTCTTGAATTCATAAATAAGAAAATAAATCTTCAAAAAATAAAGACTCAAGGCCCTTGCTGGTGGTGCACAGTGGGTTAAAGCACAGCTTGGGAGGTTCGATCCCGACCTCCACCCAGGCACCTAAGACCTCTCCTGACCTGCCTGCTGCTCCCAACTCTGTCTCCAATGAATCTTCTCACCGCCCCTGCACCTCTGGCTTGTACCCCAGTTCTGTATGCACAAATCGATCTTCAAAAAAAATTTAAAATACCCAAACCAAATAATCATTGTGAGCAGAACAGAGGGGACATAGTATCTGAGGATATTACAAAATACAGATGACTCCAGAAATCCCACCTCGGGGCACGTGAACACAGAGCTTACACTAACAAGTTATAAGAACACTAAAGAAAGATGGCTCAGTGTCAACCAGACTGTAAAACACACAGCAATAGGACCCAGCTGTAGAGAACTGTTTTGTAAGACTTGCTGGTCACCCGCAATTCCTTAGGAACCTGACAATGACAGCTGAACCTATTGTGTAACTTCAGTGTTGTTTGTATAAACTCGTGTGCAAGAAAACTACAAATGTATTCAACTTCATCCTCATTAACTGGGTGAGGTTGTCATCCTCTACAAATTCTGCCATATAAAAGTCCCAAGTTGAAGTGTCTGAGTAAAAAAGCACCCGCATTAGTGAATAATGCCCAGTGTGCATAAAGCCAGGGGAAACAGCCTTTCTAAACAACTGTCCAATGACTTGGACTGCTTTATTTCAAGTTGTTTTAAACTTTGAACCTGCCAGTTTACACCGTTTCAGGTTTTATTCACATTTAGACTTAGATCTACTCTGTCCCTTAAGATGCTTCCTTTATCTCACTCAGTAAGTCAGGCTAATTTCCACTTTAAGCTCCATCAACTACTCTAGCCCATGTTTCTCTCCCACCTTCAATACTGGATGAAGCTGCATGAGGACTCCAGCTTAGCAGTTATCTGAATGCTTCACGTTTGTTTTGCTTGTGGAACTACTTTCCATTTGCCATAGGTTGTTACACATATCTTGCATTTTTTGCAGGAGCAATTAGGTCATCAGTGGGTATATGATAATAAAAATCTGGGAAGTGATTCAACAAAGAGAATGGAAGGCACAAATTAGGGACAACAGTTACCATATTCCCACTTGTGTCCTAAATTAGCTCCAGGGCAGGCCAGACATTGAGGAAACTTCCCTGATCTATCCATCCTCAACTCCTGTTCAAAGCTGATTTAAAGAGGCAAACTCACAGTGGGCATCCAATCTTAAAACTTCCCTTCAAAATATTTTCCTGTAACGTCCCCATGCTAAGGTTTCAATATGCATCCATGTTGAGCTTTATCATATGACATCAAATGAGCACTTTCATTTACTTAACTACCCTCTTCTCGGAGACCTTCACCCACCTTCCCCCCAACCCATTTATCCAATAAAACATTTTTACCCTCATTTCTTGATTCCCAGACTTAGGCCGTGGTATAACTTAATACACTGCCATATTACTTCCCCCAAGAGTCGGACCAATTTCCATTTTCACAGATAGTGTAAACTTGCAAATTACACCTCTAATCAGCACTTGTTACCCTCATTTCAAATCCTGTGAACTTTATTAAGTGCATTTTGTATTTATCAAGTGATTATCACTAGAAAGATGCATAACAGCCATTCATATTTAACTTGCCCTCTACCTACTAATTTTGCATTGATTCATAGTGCCTTTAACATATTTAATATTTGTTTATACATCAAAAATTGTCATTTCAGGGGCAAGTATTTCCCCTATTTTAAGTCTGATTTTTCTTTTAATTTTTAGGACGAAACGTGAAGTTCTAAGATGACATCTTTATTTAATACTCTCATCCATCCAGAATATTAACTCATAAACTGAAAACCCATTTATTTCCCCCAATTGTAACCAATTTTAAGCAGTCTGTCCTTTAATATTCATATGAATACCAAAAATATGATGTAGGCATGCTCCCTTTACAACCTCCCCTACCCGACCCGACCTCAATCCCAGAATGTGCCTATTTTCACATCTTACCACACATTCACAAAAGTACCTTTAAAATGAAGTTTTACACAACCGTGCACCATGCATTTGTTTTGACAAATGTGAGCTACATGGCTTTAATTTTTCCTCACTTTCACCTTTCTAGTCTGCTTGTACCTAACTTGTTTTTAATACCCACATCATTCTGTAATCTAGGTGCCATAGTGTAGCTAGTCCCATATTAACAGACACTGATGTGGTTTCCAACTCTTGATTATTCCAGAAATGCTATAATATAAATTTATGTATAGGTAGGTGTGTTAGAGTGTTAAGTATTTCTGGAGGACATGTTCTTGGAAGTGTAACTGAAGTCTTTGCTTATTTTCAACTTTGGCGAGATAGAGCAAACTCAATTTTTAAAGAACCGCTTTAATTTGTACTCAGCAAAAATGTTAAGATCATTCATCCTTCAGCAACACTGGGGGAAAAGACATGTTTGCCTAGTTAACATGTAATGTTTATGACTTCATGATTAGCATTTTTTCACATTCATATGTACTTTTTTCCTTATGTGAATATTTTTGTCCTTTTCACTAAGGTTGCTTCTGATTTTTACTTACACAGTTTTTTTTAATGTTGAAAATAATTTGTCCAAACTGCTATTTTCTTCTAAGTGTGTCTATCTGTATGTATAAATCACACAAACTTATCTTTTCCTTTTGTGAACTCTGGCATTTATGTCATGCTTAGGCAAATGCTCCCAAATCATTATAAAAATGGCTTCCTGTATTATTTCTTGGCATTTTTCTATTTCTTTCAAATATGTAACTGATTTTTCCTAACATTAATTACTGGATTTGAATAGCTTGCTACTTTGTAATTATTAATGGCATATGGATCTTTTAAGGTATTTTCTTTCCAATGATTTTGGATTATTCAACTTTTAAAGATATCACAGTTATTAGGTCATCTGTTCATATCAAAAGAGTAACATCCTTGTTCTCACACCACCACATTAGTTTAATTATAAAGACATAAATGTTTCCCTAGAATATTACTTGTAAATAGGTTCTAAGGATATCTGATGCAGCATAATTTGAAAAGCAAAACACTGGGGCCAAACTAGAGGACTATCTATAGTAATTTTCCAAAACAAAATGTGGTATATATCCACAATATGGAATATCATTCTAATTAAAGGAATGCCACTGTGAAAGCAATGAAATACAACTATTGTAACAGACATGAAGACAACTAAGATTATTTTGTTGAAAATAGCCCAGTTGCAAACAGTACCTATAGGGGGACACCATATTTTGTACATATGTATGTATGTATACACACAACACACTTTATATATACCTATATACATCTTTTGAACAGGTACATAATTTAGAGGGCTCTGAACATCAAATAGTGGTTAACTCCTGGAAAGTAAGGACTTGAGGGCAGTGAGCAAAGGAAACTTGAATACACACTATAGTTTTAAAATACTTTTTACAAGGAGGATGTGTTCATTAATCAATTATGTGACTAAAAATTTACAATAGGTTTAAAATTTACAATGGCTTTTTTATTTATTCCTATCCATGCATGTCAGACCCTCAGTGCACTTTTCAGTTTAGTATCACTGTGCATCAGACTTTGTAGGCTGCTATTCAACTGGGAACCTCCCTTCAGCACATCCTGGGAGGCCCAGGCCAAGGTCCTTCCCCACTTGAGACTTTGTTTCAGGCTACTCTGGTCTTCTCTGAGTTCCTATTGGCCACTCTACCTCTCTCCCTTTAGGCCTTGAGCAGTAGTACTCAGTGTTCTCTGCAAAAACATGTACATCTAGCCAGCCATTGTATCTTTTCCATTAGGGCAGTGCCCTCCTCCACAAACTAGTTTTCAGAAGAAAAAAAACAACAAGAAGGAAAATATATTGACTCCAGGAGAAAATGAAGTTGCCAAGACTGAAAAACCTCCCCTCATCTCCACATGCAGTGGTGACCCGCCATTTAGGAGCACAGACTTCAAATACTAACATCTCTGCATATGTGTACAACTTGTTAGAATAAATCTTTAAATGTTCAGTCAGTTCCATTTATATCAATTCTCTTGGACCTTAGAACACTTCATTTATGTTATAACAAGTTTTTTAAAATCTGAGACAAAGGAGGAATTGTTATAAAAGCTTTTAGCAGATTATGATATAATTTACTAGTTAAAATTACAGTTTCTGGAAAATTTTCCTTACAAATAAATATGACCAATAAACTCAAATTTTTAAAAAATTGTTAGAACAAGCCAGAAGTCATAAATTTCAGAACTCAGTTCTAGTGGCAACTGCTGCTTCTGGAAAATCAGGAGAAAAACCAACAATATTATTTTCCAAGAATTATTATTTACTGCATTGAGAAGTATGTGTATGTAAAACAGAATGTACCAGAAGGACCAAGAGCCATAATTATTATTAAATGTTTACATGTGCCAAGTATTGTCCTGGTACTTAACATATATGGAATCCCCTTTAACAGTACGTATGTGAAAATTTAAGGACAAATAGAATAAATATGTTGCCTAGAATCAAATACTTAAGTGGCAGAGGGAATATTTAAATTTAAGAAGCCAGTATTTGCTTTTAACCCACTAAATATGCAGTGTATGGCATGCCACAAAGAAAAATAATGGATATATGTGTGAAACTAACTACAGGGGATCAATTGTGGCATATTTTATCAAGGAGTGCAAGATTACAGTTAAGACACTTTCTTATACAGAAAGCACCAGTATACTTAGCCCCATCCTTCCCGTAGAATTTAAGAGTGCTTTCCCAGATAAGCACTTAAAATCTTCAAAATATTCCTAGTTAAAAGGTGATGTGGAATTATCTTGTTTGAGAACTGAGGCCAGGAGAAGGGAAGCACTTACCAAGAGTCTGTAATGAGAGAAGATCCTGCAATCAGGATCAGATTTTCTGATCCTTACTATACAGCAAACTTAGCTTTTCTGAGGATCGCCTAGAAGGTCAAACAAGGGGACAGGAAAGGACATAAAATAAAAAGATGTAAGATAATGGTCTTCTCCATCAGTCAATCAATGCATTTTATCATGCACGAAGGACAGCAAAGCTGATAAATTATGTACAAGTGTCTACTTTTCCTTTTTTGTGATTTTATAACTAAAAGCACTTTATTGTATATATTTATCCTGTTTTTTGATAAAATGATTTTTAAAAAAACTTCTCATTTAGGGTAATTTTAAATTGATAAAACTGTGGAAGGAATGATATTACACACCTAGCACGAATCCATCATCCAGCTTCAATTACCAACTGAAGGCCATCTTGTTTCATCTATAACCCCACCCACTGCTCCCCCCCACTCCGATTTTTTTAAGCTCACCAAATAGCCGAATTTCTGTATTTTATTAGGGAAAATTTCAACCATATACTAAGGAGTGTCGAATAATATAAGGAACCCTATATGCTTAACACCAACTTAAAAGATAATTAATTTAGGGCTAATTCTGTTTTATCAATACCCCTCCCCACTCGCCTCTACCGCTGAGATTATTTTAAAGTAAATCTTAATCACCAACGCATTTTGAAGCGAATCCCAGACTATAAACGACAAATATCGTGTAACTCGTAAATATATTTGTATTACAAAATATGAAATTACGAATTTGAAAGCTACAATACCATTATGACTAAAAAACCGACATCAATTATCATTCTTTAAAAAAAATCAAATATCGTATCCCTTTTAAAATTTTCGCGATTCATTTTTAAAATACTGTTTTTTTTTTTTTTTTTTAAACAGACGGTGTGTTCGAATCAGGATCCAAACAAGGCCTACTCCGTCGCATGTGGTTTATCTTCAGATCGCTCGCGTCTCCCCCTCCCCCTTTTGAAACTTTTCAATATGGAAAATTCCAATCCCCGCTATTTTCAGTTAATTCTCAAACAGCAAATTATATCATCGATAAAAATTGATATATTTCCCTTGTACCTCTCATTTCTTCTAGGGAAGTGGAGGGGCAGGAAAAAACACTAACAAACGAATTTACCTAATTTCTATTTTTTTCTCATTCTGTTACGCGGGTTTTTCTCCTCACAATAATAGCTAATCTCTTTCGGGGCCTGGATTCGTATCAAGTGCCTTATTCGCACTAATATACGGTGCACGCCTCCGAGGCACACGTCTCTGAGGTAGATACTATTATTATCACCATTTTACAAACATGGAAACCGCGACAGAAAGAACAGGAGGCAACCCGAGCTGGGCGTTGGCGAGCAGGAATGCGAATTCATTTCTGCCCGATTGGGAAGCCATTCGTTAATCTTGTCTAGATACGCGACGAAAAGAGGAAATCGTCAACCCTTCCTCCCCACCCCCACCCCGAAACCTGAAACGAGAATCCAGTTCTTTCCAGCAGCCGACGTGTGATCACTGCCGTCCCTCCAACCGCCATAGTAAAGCCAGGTTTCTCTGGCAACTGATATCCATAGGCAGACACGTCACCCTGGAGGCGGGATTTCGCCCTTGGGCCAATCAGAGTCGTCTTGTCTAAGTTTTAGAATGTTCTATAAGCAGATGATTGGACGAAGCCCGCACGTCAGCCGTGACGCCTCGCCGCAGTAAAGGCGGGGGCTAGCAACCTGCTTCTTCACGGTTAAGGCTTGGAAAGAAACCAATCCCCTTCCTCCTTTCGTGCGCGCTCTGGCCAATGACGTTAGCCCTCTTAGATCCTCATCCCGCCCTCAAAAAGCGCGACAGCCGTTGGGTCAGAAGTCTATAGGGCAGGGTGCTCACGTGGCCCTTTTGCACGCCCCAGAGTTCCCCTGACCACCGGCTTTTTTTTTTTTTTTCGTGCAAGGAGGCATTATGGGTTCCCCCCCCCCTCCATTGGGAGAGGAAGTGTCTACGTGGCCTGCGGAACAAGATGGGCGGAAATGAGCTAAAGTTCCCGCGAGTGGGGAAGCGCGAGGTCAAGTGTGGGGGCCACACCCCCGAATTATTGCGCAATCTGCGGAGCCAAAAAAAAAAAAGACAGGTGGGGTTTCGATGTGGGTGCCATTAGTGGTGTGGGTACTTCGGGCGCGTGGTGTGCGAGTCAGCGTGGGCATGCCCGGTAGGCTCGCGGGGCTCTGGGGTTGAGGAGTGCGCGCACACCGGCTCTCTTGGCGCCGGAGGTGCTGGGTGTGCGCAGCCGCGCGTCCCGAGCGTGGGGCTTGTCCGCGTGTGCGCGCGCACGCGCTCTACATGGCGAGGGCGTGCGCGTGTGCGACCGCGCGCTCGCTCTCTGCCGATCGCTCTCTACCTGTTCGAAAATTGTTTGAATAAAAAGTAAAATAATGGAGGCAAGGCGCCTATAACGAATAAAGTTTCCTCCACTGGGAATAATTTTGTCTCTCCTAGCTAGTCCATTTTAGACCGTAAAAATACACTTTCTCTCCACCTTTCTCTGGCCAAAATCTGCTCGCTTCACAGCCCTCCAGTGGCAGCGAGCCACGCCCTCCCACTCCCGGGCAGCAATTCCAAGGAACAGCTTCTTCTCTGTTCTCTAGTATCCCTTTTTCCCCCCCACCCAGCCTCCTGTCTCCCCTGAGTGCAATTCTCTAGCACCTTTTTCTGCTGAGAATATATACGACCGCCTTCCTGTCTACCTAGGACTCCGAATTTCTTTTGAGGCTGAGGCTCACTTACCTTTTTGTCCCGATCTCGGAGCACAGTGACCTTCAGGCAAGTACGCACTCCATAAATTTTCCAGAAAGATCTCTGGGTGAAGTTTATATCTTCGCGTCTGCCACAAGATGCCGCCAAATCCTAGCAAAGGATTGGCTATTTGGTCCTTGGAATGATGGGATTTTGTGTGCCTCCCCCTTCACTCCCCCAGTTCTTGCTGGTTTGCTGAACTTTATAGTCTATAGGGGTCATTTTTTGGCCAGAGGGAAAAATCAAATGAAATTCTGTAAATAGCCCTACCAGGTTGAGCAATATGGCCAGAGGTAAAAAAGAAATTCTTCCTTATTTCTTGCCGCCTTAAAAAAAAACCAGTGGCTCCTCCATGTCTCTCTTTTTTTCTTTTTTATCTTTTTGGAGGTCAGAATTGAAAGACCCCCAGGCACTGATGCTTATGAAGATTCTAACCTGTTCTTTTCAAATGGGCACAACTCCCCCCACATGGAAAATATAGATGGCTGTTTAGTCAGTAAATACGGGTAAGAACTTGGACCCTGGTATTTAAAACTGATTTTCTTTTCCTGTTGAAATTTTATTAGATATGTGCATCTGCACCCTATTTTTGGTAGTTATACTGCTAAACGTTACAAGTTCATTAGAGTCGGACACCTAATTTTAAACCCCATTCCACCACTAGCTTGCTCTGAGATTCTGGGCAAATGGTTTATGTTCTGCAATCCTCAGTTTTTGCTTTACTTTCTATATTTTCGATACTATGTCATATTCGACATATGGATATTCTTTTATTTCTCAAAAAATCTTTACGAGATGGGTTGTTGATATGGTCAAATCAACTACAAAAGTCTACATCTTTTGTTTATCGGTCATACATACTTGCACTTACACTTACATGGAGGGGCAGACAGGATGGGGTGTTTCTTAAAGTAGGTTTCTCAGACACATTAGTAGTCTTGTTATCACTTGGCAGGTTGTCTGAATTCAGGCTGCATTTCAAATTTAATGAATCAAATTCTAAGGATAGGTTGGCTATTGGTGTTACAACGAATTCTCCTGTTGATAGGTGATAGCAATGGACACAGGTTTAAACCAGATCACTGGAGAACAGAAATGCCATGCTTATTTTGTACACTCCACTAGAGGGTGCTACAGGATGTAAAGTGAAATTATAAATTATATATATATATATATATCTTTTATTGAGATACCTTTATATTATCAAACCCATTTTACAGATTAAAACGTAATGTGTGTAATGAACTTAATGTGTCATACACACGTGCTGCATTGCAATGATGCATATCTGAAACATATAATATTATAATGCCAAGAGACAACTAATGTGCTTCCAGCCAAAGGCTGTGGATATCAGGTCCAGGCTAAGTCCCTGTAGCAGGTAGCAAGATGGCCAATGCACCACTGTTGGAAGGCAGGGTGTCTCTCTAACAGTTGTTACTTTCAGGTTCTCTATTGAAGTAACTGCATTATAACATATATAAGATTTGGGTATGCATCATTATAAACCAATATTGTAAGTGCTATATAATTCACCGCTAAAAGTGCAACTTACCTTTCCTACAATTGAGCATTTTTACCCAGTTTATGAACTCCCTTTTGCTAACCTCTGATTTGGTCTAATTGGATTTTCTTTCTTTAATCTCCCATCTCTGTGGAATGATAGTGAAATAATCTGTTACAGCTTTGGAATACATTTATTTCTTTGTTTCCTTGTAAAGGAACATTATTCTGCATGCTACTCATTTTTTGAAAATGTTCTAAATGTGTATCTCACAGAGAGAAATAAAGTTAATATGTAGAGGTGTCAAAATATTTTCCCAGTGCATACATTAAGTATGGGGACTGGGTTTTGAATTTTACCTCTCTTTTATGTCCATGCCCTTGACAGTATTATGTTGTTCAACCTTAATACCTTGTCTTTCTGGGCCTTAAAATAAATTAAGATAACCTTTTCCCTGCTTTGACTAATGTCGACTAGAATGTCAAAAAAAGAATAGAAGGGCCTCCATAGTGGTGCAGGGGTTGAAGTCTCAGCACTGTCAAGCTACCACCAGCCACTGGGGCCTGAGTTCCATCCCCAGCCGGGGGGTGACATGGCACCACAGACCTCTCCTGTCTCGTCTGCTGCTCCCCTCAGTAGTGGATTTCAGTAAGTATGCCTGTTCTGCACCCCACTCTGTGTCTGATGAATCCTCTCACCCCTGACACCTCTGGCCTACACCCTAGTTCTTGTATACATAAATCAATAAAATAAATCTTTTTTAAAAAAAGCAAGAAAGGAAACCAAATCAAGGGAAATAGCTTGATTTCATACCCTTCTTCATCTCCAGTCTCTAATAAGATGCCACATAAAAGCTTATCAGTGTTTCCTTGTTTGCTTTTATATTTCCCAAATGTTTCCTCTACCCTGTAGTTATCGTCTGTAGTTTATATCTGAACCTCTTCTCTGCGTGAGGGAGGAGTCAGGGTCATAAGAGAACACACTGAAAGCCTATTATGGGTTGTACACTATATAGCTCCATACCCATTAGGCCCAACAATAGCTTGTAAATGAGGGGTCAGTTATCATTTTATGATGAAAATGAGTGCTAGAGACTATATTTACTTTTCCTTGGTCATATAAGTTGTAAGTAGTGGAGCCTGGGTCATTCCTAGTACTTCTGCCTCTACTACCCTAAGCTGTTTTTTTTTTTTTAAGATGTATTATTTATGCATATAAGAGCTGGGATGTGGGCCACAGGTGTCGGGGGTGAAAAGATTTCACCAGAGACAGAGTGTAGAGCAGAATGGGCAGATTGATTGAAATATAGTGCTAAGGGGAGCAATGGGCATGACAGGAGAGGTTTGCTGTGCCATGTGGGTTACCTCTCTGGCCAGGATTGAAATCTGGCTTCATAGTGCTGCGCTCTAACCCCTTGTGCCACCAAAGAGGCCCTTACTCTAAAGCTTTCTATTGCTCAACTTTGAATTTGGTTTAGTTATTTACAATTTATGTGAAACTTTCAACAAGTTTTTAACTTTTTCTGAGCCTCAGTTTCACCATCTATTAAAGGAAAACAAATACTCCAGATTCATAATCTTGAGTTCACTGTCTAACACCGCTGCCACTAGTCATGTGTGGCTGTTTAAAGTAAAACTGAAAATTCAGTTCCTCAGTTTCACATTTCATAGGCTCCCTAGCTACATCTGGCTTGTATTCATACCATATTAGAAATAACAAATAGAGAACATTCCCACAACACAGAAAATTCTGTTCAGTTTTGTGTTAGTATACATAAGGTAGGTAAGGGCCTAGCATAGTTTTTATCTCATGGCAGATGCCCAAGGAAAGTGATTTCCTCGGCCTTTCCCTTTCCCATCAGAACTAGATATATTCTGCCTTATTAATAGGATCAAAAAAAGAGGTGGGGTAACACAATGAACTGTATGTCTGGCATTTGGGACCCCCATCTCTGAATATTGAACTCTCGCTTCAATATTCTGGCTAGTAAACCCATGCTTATGCTCATGAGAATTAACTTTGGAATAAGAATGGTAGCAGAAAAAAACAGGAACTGAATACCTTCTATGTGCAAGGCAGCACTGTGCTCAGTTGTTTATATATATAGTCGTAGTGAACCTTCACTGAAACCCAGAGAAATTAATTCCTCACTTCAAGTTGCCAAGCAGTAAATGGTAGCTCAAAGACCAGACTTCTCTTCCACTGCAGAGTCCACGTTGTTTTCCATAATGCCGTACTCTCCTCTCAAGTGTGGATACTCTTCTGCCCCTTCCATTTACTAGTGTGCAT